GCATGACTATGTTGGGCCAACGTTGGTAAATGGTTGTATTGTTGGCTAGTGGTTGGCGTTGGGCATTTAACGTTGGCCCAACGTTGGGCCAATGCCAATAGGGTGCTTTTCTATTTTGATCAAATGTAAGTTGGGAAGACAATGTTGGCCCAACAATGGCGCTATGTAATAAATCTGAGCTTTCCTGTATTTTTTAACGTTGGGAATAACTGCATTGAACCAACGTTGGCCCAACATTTTAAATGTTCCCTTATCCATAGTGACCAAGATCATCGGATATACAACCATTGTCCAACGACGACCCTTCATGTGCAGAATATGCTATAATTAAGTTTTCTGCATGTTGGGCTCACACTGGACCAATGTTGGCCCAACGTATATGTAATATATCTAAATGATGGTGTTTAAAAAATAGTTAAAATATAACGTTGGCCCAACATTAGCCCTACTATGCAATTAGCGCTTTACTACAGTTTCTATGCTGACGTTGGAATAATACATTTACCAACGTTGGCCCAACGTTAATATGAAATAAAAGAATGTAGAAAATATTAAGTGTTAGCCCAGCCGGTAGTCTGATCCAGCCAGGGAGGGGGTCTATGATCTAGCTAGGGTTTTAAGCGTTATTGAATTTATATTTACCCTAGCTAAAACTGCAGTTGGGAGCAATTATCAAGTACATGAATTTTTTTTAAATTTTCTTTCTCTTTTTGTTTTTTTTTTTTTTTTGTTTTCATTTTTGTGTTTGTTTTTAGTTTGTGTTCGTTTTTTTCTAGTTAGTGTTCAATCAACAATTTACAGACTTGTATAAAATCTTAGGAACATCTATTACATAACTGCGCTAAAGTGCTGGTTTTAGGGGGGCATATTCTGAGATAAGAGCAAAATTCACTGCTTAAATAATTAGGTCGACATCATCGTTGCTTCTCACAGCAGGAGACTGACCAGTTTCCTCGGTGACTGCGAAATCTGATATATCAGGATGGTCAGCACGTGTAACCATTTCACAATTTCGCTTTTGAGCAGCTTGGTGTACACACGTATTATATTTGTGAGAACAAAGGAATTTGGATATACTGCTTCGCTAGACAATATATGTAAGTATATTCTATAATTTGCTTTGATTTTGTCAAACTTTCCAGTCCAGTGTTTGCAATCTGCCTTTTTATACAGACATCGTACACACATGCACATTAATGTTTAAGTTTAATCATAAAAGATCTGGTTCAGTATAATTAGGGTGATCAAATATTTCAAGGTGAAAATTTTGTCTTAAAACTTTTAAGTTATATGTATACACAATTAATGTGTTACCATTTACTTTTAGGTAAAGAATTTATGCACAACTGGAGGAGAAAATGTAAAGTCCACTGTGAGATACTCTTATCCTACCTTTTTGCCAATGACCCTGCCTTTCGGATCAATTGGAATCAAGGATATATAGTAACCAGTAAGAATTATTTTATTTACTTTATCTAAAGGGGTGAAAGAATCCCCCATTATTTAATTATTTAGTTTTTTAATTAGTAAATTTAAACGTATAAATTGTTGTTTTGTCCCATTTAAAAAGCTGGAAATATTGTTTTTCACCTCTCAGTTGTAGGTGTACAAATAAATTGATCAAAATGAACAATAGGCCAGAAATTTAAGAACTTAAAGCCTATAAAATTAAGTATGTCATCAATATGTCTACAAATTTGTTACTTTGAAGGACTGTCCGAAAAACAGGCTAACAGCGGCAGCGACAGACAGCGAAATTTGCGCCATTGTTAAAGATTGGTTTCACTCTGCCAGTGACCGGGAAGGGGACGGAAAAAAGGAAGAGAGGAAGAGGATAGATGAAGAGAAAAGGAAAGAGAATGAAAAAGGAGGAGAAAGTGCAAATGACACTGAGTAAATAAAAGAAAAAGAATGAAAACTTTTGTTTAAATTAATAATATGAAGGATTGCTTGACATTAATTGTAATTATAATAGATTTAAAAATATAAAAACATCAACTATTAAAATCAATAGCCAATACATGGATTTTTTTTATTTTCTTATCAGAATATTCCTGAAAAAATCATATTATTCAAGAAAGAATATTTTGAATGTCAATCCGAAATTCACATAAAATGGAGTTTACTAGAATAATGCAAACCATGTTGTGGATGACGTGAATATACATGTATTTTACTCTGATTGTCCGCAAATGGCATTTTTTTTATTCTTTGTAGATCAAATGTTAGTCATGCATTGTGTCATCAATTTAATTTTTCCACCGTGTTGGACCAGTGTAGGCCCTACACTTTCCTAGCCATTTATTGTTGGCCCAATGTTGGCCCTACACTTTCTCCGTAAGCTGTTTATTGTTGGCTAAATGTAGGCCTCTATACTTACGCAGCTATTTATTGTTGGCCAGACGTTGGCCCTTCACTTACAATGCTATAAAGTATGTTGGCATAATGTTGGTATTGCGATAATATATGAAAATGACATTACTGGTATTGGCCCAACATTGGCCCTTCTATAACATGCCATGTACAATGTTGGTCTAATGTTGGCCCTACGATTACAAAAATACATTAGAACGTTGGCCCAACATCGCCCCAACATGTTGGGCCAACAAAGGGCCACAGTGCACTTAGACATTGCGCCAACGTTGGCTGCCAACGTCGGCCCCACAAAGTGTGTTACATTGGGCCAACATTGTCCCAACGTAGTCATGCTATCTGGGTTACGCCTTCACCTTTTCAAGAGGTGTCATAACGCCATTTCAAAAGGCGTTATTACGTCTTTCCAAAAGGTTATAATTACGAATTTCCAAAAGACGTTATTATAAAGGCGTTTTGAAAAGGAAATAAAAAATGAAAAAATAATACATTCCACTGTTTTTTTCTGTGATATTATTGAAACCAAAGATATGACAGTTCAGGCTATATCTACAATTATTATACTTTCATGTTGAATACTAAAATCTTATTGGTTTAGACGCAGGTAACAATCCGTTCGATTACCCTGAGCCTTAGCAACACACGTGACAACGGGTAACACAACGATAATGCCACATGCGTGGAAATTATGCGCGTACGGTTCACCGTAGAATTCTCGAAACGTCAGTTGCGCGTTTGTAAGAACCGGAATTAACTTGACGTCAATAAAAGCTTGCGTCCGATAAAGCTTACTTGAAAACAACAAACGACAGACGATACATGCTTGCGAGAGTAGGAAACATGCTTGCGAGCCAGAAATAACGAAACTTTATATGATAAATGACTCGAATTCGAGTATCAAACAAACAATAAGGAGATTAGTGAACCGGTGAGTGTGAAAGCTTTCTACACATGAACGTAAAGACGATCGACGGTTTTTTTTTTGCTGCCTAAATCAATAAGACATTCAGTATAATAAAATAAATGGTGCCTGTTTTGTAGGGTAACATTTGAAATTGACACCCCAAGGAAAACCATTGTCAACCGACGCGTCAGTCAGTTTAATGGGATATACAAACATGAAAAATTATAAAACACACTGTAAAAAAGTAGTTTCAATTTATTTAATTATATTTATTTACACTCTACGAAATAAAACATATTATATTTAAGGAATGAATTGAATAGTTACCCATTTTATACGGTAAAAACTGGGTTGGGGCAGTTTAGGAAAGTGAGGGATGGATCTGATGGATGGAAAAACTTGACCGAGCCAGTTAATTTGCAATCAAGCATTAAATCTGATCAAAAACATTCAATCTACGATTTCAATAAGTAAGTGTATATTTATGATGAACACACGGAGACACTGGCGACAGCTTACATTGAACTACGACAACACCGAGGTGTTTATCAGCTGTTCGTGGCGTGATCGATGCTTTGATATTTTCCAACAGATTTTCACATTTATCGTGAGTAGAATTTAATGAAAAAATAGTTTATCATGAAGATTTAACTGAAGGTCTACCCCAAAAATAAGGATAAACGTTAGAGACTGTGCAGCTGACAAAAGTGACATAAAACTTGTAAACAAACTTACAAAGGCTAGATCTATAGTTTCTATCGGTATTTATTCTCTATGTACACAGGTTAATTCGATAACCAAAAAAAATTATGAGATACTTGTTTACATTGCAAATAAAATAATTATTATTTTACTTTCTTATTTTGTTTATTAATTTTATACATGTAGAGCAAGTCATTTCATATTGATGTACCGGTATATATTATTGCGCCGTGTGATAAAGTAAATATTGACACCTGACCTCTGACAAACATCATATTCTTCGTTTATATTTGTAAAGGAGTATATATGATAAGAGCCAATTTTGGCCCCCTAAAAATCAACATGACATCCAAATATGTTTAATTGATATTTATTTTGTAAAAGAGATTATATTAGAAATATTTCCAATATATTTTTCACATCTATATGCACTCACTAGCTGTAAATGAAATGAGAAAAAATGTTATTTTTGCTATCTAACAAAAAGGCCAAAAATAAGCCTTTTTCTTGATTTTTTTTCTTATGGGAAACATAGAGCGCAATGTATAACATAAATAATTTTTCTGCAACTTATTAGTATTGGATAGATGCATCTTTGGTAAAAATATAAATCTTGTTCTAAGCTGCGCTCTATATTTTCTGGAAGAAAAACTGCTTGAAAATAAGCAGTTTTATACAAAATATGATAAAATGGCGGGAAAACATTATTTTTATGACGTCATATTTCTAAAACAACGACATTTTAATCAAAAAGAAATGACCAATAAAGGTCGCATATATAGTTGTACAAATTAAAGCTATATAAAAAGTACAAATAAGATATTCATTTTAAGGGGCCGGTTGAGACACTTACCAAATTTCGCTCATTATAAAAAGATGGAACGTTCCCGCACATGAACATATATTAAGGAAATGATGTGTAATATCGATCCTGCAACAGTTGCAGCAATACTAGCATAAAAGTACCAAACCCCTTTGTCATTTGTTAATACACACCAAAGTATGAGAATAACTATATTTTCTATGTAGAAAAAATGTAAAAGATAACACTATACATTATTTGCGCAAATCCATTAACATTTTCATACAACTTGTATTTGCAAAAGAAGAAGGTATTTGCAAAACTCCCAAGCAACAAGAGCATTATTTTACGCCCAGTTTTAAATTCGTCTGATACTCTGTAATTACGCCCAGCTGCAAAAGCTATTGCCAACGTAATAGCAATATGACAAGCAAAGAAAACAGCAGAGTATAATCTAAATTCTGAAACAAGCAATGCTAGGAGAATAACTCTTGGCCCAATTTCTGCAATGCGAGAACAAAATGACACAAGTTTTGTTCGGAAAGTCAGTGTACCAGTGTCCCCTTTCTCGACGTTATGTTTAAAGTTGTACATTGATTTTGCAAGTCCAAGAGCTGATCCAGCCAGTGTCATATATCTGATGTATTCTATAAAAAAAATTCTAAATTAAATGCAATGCATAAGGTAAAAATAGCGAATCTCAGAAATCATGTTAATGAAACGAATCATGACTAGGACAAAACCACCAAAACAAAGGACCAAGCAGGAAACACTGCGGGTGAGATCAGGTGCTTAAAAAGTGAATGTATGCCTTGTCAATCAGTAATATCTGCCATGGGCTATATCTATTGATCATGAATAGTCCTAAGTCGGATTAGATATACATGTAAAAGCAATAACCTAACAGATTGTTTGAATCAAGTCACATAAAGAGTGACCATATAAGTAAAGTTTACAATCAAGGTCATTAAGCTAAAACATGGAAAACGATTGCAGAATTTTCGAAAACAGCTTACCTTAAACTGGGTTTTTACTTGTAACATCAAATTATTCGTTAGTAAATTGCTTCAGTTAAAAACCTATAATTATTTAGAGCATGCTCTTGGCTACCGAATCAGTTGGGGAACATAGAATCATATAAACGGCTCAGGGGCGATGGGGGTGGGGTTGAACTGTCAACATTGAATGCTTACTTCTTTTAGAAACGTAATACTTACGTGTACATGTACTCTCGGAAATTAATTAAGTGAGTTTGCCCTCTCCATATTTTTCATTCCTATTGATTTTTTAGATAGATTAATTATCATATTTAGTTATATTTCTATTAAAATGTATACTAATTTCCTGCAAATTTCTTGAATGCACCCCCCACCCCCCAAAAAATGTTGGAAGCGTTCTTCTTTCAATGTTTACCGGTCACAGTAGCCTAGTGGTAGAGCGTTCGCTTCGTGATCGGGAGGCCCGGGTTCGATTCTCGATCGCGGCGCCGCGTCATACCTAAGACGTAAACATAGATAGTGACTGTTTCTTTGCCAAGCGCTCGGCACTAGAAGTGAAAGTCACGGGTCTTTCGGATATGACCTTAAAAACGTAGGTCCCGTGTCACGGTAGGCGTTGGCACGATAAAGAACCCTCACTGCTCAATGGCCCTGAGTGCCGAGTATAGGTCTAAATTTGAAGCCCTTCACCGGCATCGGTGACGTCTACATATGAGTGAAAAATTCTCAAAAGGGACGTTAAACAATATACAATCAATCAATCAAGTTTTCAATGTTTATCTTTACCAAATGTATATTATGTACACACGCATATTATTTTTTAACATTTAAAGAGCTCACGAATTGTACGTCAATAAAATTGTCAAATTATAACTAAATGCTATATTCATAAACATGTACACGGGAAAAAATGGTAGAATAATACTAGATGAGATCTCGTTGCGAGCAACGAGTAGGTCTTCCGTTGAATTTCTCGATAAGATAAGATGTGATTTTGAGATATTCGTTAAAAGAGAATGACATTAAGTTTTCCTTCAATAATTTAAAAGTTTCTGTTTTTTTTTCACGATTTTCTGAACATCTTTTGTTCAATATATAGCTTATAAAAATACTCCCTCTTTCCGAGACGTAAAGCATAAAAAATATAGCATTTTGGCCCCTTGCAACCACTTATTACGTAACAGATGATGAATATTTTTGCTTCTCATAATGGATACTTATCAAAAAATATTGATCATGAAGGAGTTGCAGATGAAAGACTTTTGACCCCTCTATGCCCCTTTTTCTTGATATCAAATGAAAGTTCTTGTGATTTCAAAGACATTTTCTTCAACACCTATTCAGAGATTTTTTTTTGTGGAGATATGCTTCATATAAATATTTAGGAGCAACCCCTACAAGTCCTTAATTAGACCGTTTAACAAAAATTTAAAGTTTGCATATTGTTCAGAACATTATTCTGACCAATGTTTGTTTAATATTGCTTATCAAAATATTCCCCCTTTTTGAGATATAAAGCATCGAAGATTTGACATTCTGACCCCTTGTGACCCTTAATTACGTAATATATAATCAAAATTGTATCATATATTGTTGCAAATCGTTAAGATAAATACTTTGCTTCAGTAATAGCGTTATATACTTTTAAGACTTTTGGCCCCTCTGAGCCCCTAATGAGAGGGGTCAACCCTATTTTCTTGAAATCAAATGAAAGTTCTTGTGATTTTGAAGATTTTTTGTTTAACGCTTATTCAGATATTTCTGTTCGTTGTGGAGATACGCAAAATGGAAAAATTTAGGGGCCACTCCTACAAGTCCTTAATGGGGCCGTTTACAAAAATTCAAAGTATGCATATTGTTTAGAACATTATTCTGACCATCTTTTGTTCAATATTGCTTATCAAAATATTCCCCCTTTTTGAGATATAATGCTTCAGTAATGTATAACAAAATATTGTTCATTAAAGAGTTATAGATAAAAGACGTTTGGCCCCTCTGAGCCCCAAAAATGAGGGGTCAGCCCAATTTTCTTGATATCAAATGAAAGGTCTTGTGATTCAGGAGATTTTTTGTTCAACACTTATTCAGAGATTTCTATTCGTTGTAGAGATATGCTAAACGGAAATATTTTGGGGCCACTCCTACAAGTCCTTCATGGGGCCGTTTTACAAAAATTCAATGAATGCATATTGTTTAGAACATTATTCTGGCCATCGTTTATTCAATATTGCTTATCAAAATATTCCCCCTTTTTGAGATACAGAGCGTCAAAGATTTGACATTCTGGCCCCTTGTGACCCCTAATTACGTAACATATGCTTAAAATTGTATGATATATTGTTGCAAATAGTTGATATAAATACTTTTGCTTCAATAATGTATAACAAAATATTCATCATAAGAGAGTTATAGACAAAAGACGTTTGGCCCCATTGAGCCCCTAATTTGAGGGGTCAGCGCAATTCTCTTGATATCAAGTGAAAGGTCTTGTGATTTTGAAGATTTTTCGTTCAACACTTATTCAGAGATTTTTTTTTTCGTTGTGGAGATATGCTAAATTGAAATATTTAGGGGCCACTCCTACAAGTCCTAAATGGGGCCGTTTTACAAAACTTCAAAGTACATATGCATATTGTTAAAAACATTATTCTGGCCTTCGTTTGTTCAATATGGCTTATCAAAATATTCCCCCTTTTCGAGATATAAAGCGTCAAACAGGTCGAGGAAACTACCTTATATGGATATTGTTGCGATTGCGCACATTTTTTTTGTAATTTGTCATGAAAAATACGAAGATTGGGTACTTATTAAGATTCCCCATGCTCACATTAACAAACAAACTAAGTTTTCCTTGTTAAATAGAACTTTGAAATACCGCTCACAAAGTCTACACTAATAAATAAGACTCAATTTTTTAACATTGTTTAACTCGATATCCGTTAATGTACGTGCCATATGTAACTGGTTAAATTTATGGAGTTGTTGCTCAGTTATTTGTTACAAAAAATTAAAACTTGCATTTTATAAAAAAAATATTTTTTGCATTTTTCTTATTATTTACCTGTCATATAAACCATCATGCACATTGAGAACATGAGTAGCATATACCGGTATTTCGAGGTTGTGTACATTATAAACACTGACAATACGTGAGCACACCTCAGAGTTGATTTTTTTTGGACCAAGGAATAGTCACGTGAAATTGACTTTTCACTGACCGTACAGCTATACAGCACTGGGAAAGTGTCAACAAACGGACTTGTACAATGGAGTGGAGAAAACCCAAATTTTTATCATTGTAAATCATTTGTATATAAATGTGAGCATGGAATCAGTAGATAATGTTGTTCATATTGTATCAAGTGTGTAAAATGCTTGGAAAAATGCATCACGTTTTTCCGAGAGCGATTTAAATAATTGGCCTTCTAGAAACACGTGTGTATTTTTGTAGTAGACCATAATGCAACTCATTGAGCTGATTGGTCGATTTATCAGTCACGTTGGTTCCTCACTTAACATGTAAATTTATTCCTACGTCACAGAAAATAGTTTCCTCGACCTGTCAAAGATTTGACATTCTGGTCCCTTGTGACCCCTTATTACGCAAGATATGCTTTAAAGTTTATAATATATTGTTCCAAATGGTCTAAAATTAAAAAATATCGAAAAAAGCGAGCAGAAAAAATGATAAAATGTTTTGGTGACACGGGGGATCGAACCCGGGTCGCCCGCGTGACAATCCAACACGCTAACCATTTAGCCACTGGAATCGCCGATTCGCGTTTTCAAATGCAAATATCTCGAGATAGGCTTGTTCGATTTTCAAACAAATTACATATTTCGCTTCTGCAAAAGGGTCTCTATTCAAATAAAAAACAAAATTTGAAAAATTGCGTTTTTTAGATTTGCTTTCGGAAGCGACCAGAAGTATTGACGACGCACGAATAGGTAATTCTGCAACGCTATAAGTCATGAATTATCATCTCAAATTAATCTTTAGATCATATCTTAAGCAGTTTTCGCTGCTAAGTTCAGAAAAAATTGCAATTTAAAATAAAAAAAAATTGTCCATATCTCATGACCGGAAGTCACGTCTTAAAAACGCTTAAAAACCTAACAAGATCGATTGACGATCTATTACATATGAAAATTTTATGTAAATTGACCGAGCAGTTTCTGAGAAATCGCGTGCACAAGAATTGGTTGAAAAAAAATAATAATAGGGTAAAAGAAACCGAAGAATAACAAGAGATAACGTTGGAGACGGAAGACCTTAATAATAGGGAAAAAGAAACGTTACGAAAACAATAATTCTTCCTTTGGAGACGGAAAACCTTAACTAGATGAGATCTCGTTGCGAGCAACGAGTAGGTCTTCCGATGAATTTCTCAATAAGATGAGATGTGATTTTGACTGAGATATTCGTGAAAAGAGAATGACATTAAGTTTTCCTTCATTAAAGAAGATGGGCGCATTTGGCGGGTGATCTGCAGGAATCATTTGTACGAAACATTTATGGTTTAAATGTCCATGATTTGGTTGACTGAACAAACCTGGTCAGATTTTACAAACACGTCCATTGGTTATTTTTGTCCCCCGCTTTCGCGAAAGCGAGGGGACATTAAATCTCATTCGTCTGTCTGTCTGTCCGTCAGTCTGTCCGTCACAAAAACTTTAACCTTGCCCATAACTTTTGATTTAGTGGAGCTATGACTTTCATATTTCACATGTGTATTCCTTGTGACAAGACCATTCTTTGGGTATCACCAAATCTGACCTTTTGACCTTGACCTTGGAGTTTGACCCACTTTTACACAAAAATTTCAAACTTTTACTTTGGCCATAACTTTTGAATAGTAGGTACTAGGACTTTCATATTTCACATATGTATTGTTTGTGGCAAAACCTTTCATTGGATAACAACAACCTTGACCTTTTGACCTTGACCCTGGAGATTTACGTACTTATGAAAAAAACTTTAACCTTGACCATAACTTTTAAACAGTGAGGACAAATGCTTTCGTACTTCACATATGTAATCCTTGTGAGAAGACCTTTCATTGGATACCAATAACTTTTGCCCTTTGACCTTGACCTTGGCGTTTTAATTACTTTTTAAAAACTTAACCTTGGTCACAACTTTTAAACAGTAGATAGTCGGACTTTAATAATTCACATATGTATTTCTGGTGTCAAGACATTTCATTGGATATCAACAACCTTGACCTTTTGACCTTGACCTTGGAGATTTACGTACTTATAAAAAAAACTTTAACCTTGACCATAACTTTTGAACGGTGGGGGCTAGGGCTTTCGTACTTCACATATGTTTTCCTTTTGAGAAAACCTTTCATCGGATACCAACAACTTTTACCCTTTGACCTTGGAGTTTTAACTACTTTTAAAAAAAACTTCATCTTTGAACACAACTTCTGAACGCTAAATACTAGGACTATTATATTTCAAATATGTATTCTTTGTGGCAAGTCCTTTCATTGGATATCAACAACTTTGATCATTTGACCTTGACCTTAAAGATTTACGTACTTATGAAAAAAACTTTAACCTTGACCATAAATTTTGAACAGTAAGGGCTACGGCTTTCATACTTCACATATGTAATCCTTGTGAGAAATCCTTTCATTGGATATCAACAATTTTGACTCTTTGATCTTGACCTTGGAGTTGACCTACTTTTAAAAAACTTTTTACTTTGGCCATAACTTTTTAATGGTCAGGATTAGGGTTTTCATCATGAAAAAAATCAACTTCAATGTTACTTTCTAAATAAATGACATATGATAGGATGTTCATACTACACACAATATGTCATAAAGATAACATCTCACTCGCAAAGACACCGAAAGCGGGGGACCACAATTCTTTGAATTTGCTTGTTTTCATTTAGTTTGAAAGACATTGTGAAATTGTAACATTTATGTCCATTTTTTACTAGGGGGTACTATAACATAGTAATGTTTCACAAAAAATTAAACCTAAAATATTTAATGCATAGATGCATGATACGTGTACATGTACATTATTGAAATAGAAGATTAGAATTGATTTCGTTTGAGAACAAAACTGAACCAAAATTTATCTAATTCAAAATTTTAAAACATAAGTACATAAAACGAAACTGACAAAATAAATGGTTGTTTGCCTGAATAAAAAAAAAAATAACGCCCCATGCCAGGCTCGAACCAAAAACTTCTCGCTTCGAGTGCATTGAATTGGTAGCCTAACTTACTGAGCTATCAGCGCTACACTGAAACAAATGTTTTTAAAAGGACAAAGACGCACCAAATTGACACATTTGGATTTTTTGGGGAAAAGTTCATTTTTCGTGGTCTCTGGGTCTTCTCTCCATTTTTTAAAAAAGTGTATTCGTTTCTTTGAATTAAAATACACACAAATAACGTTTCAAAATCATGGAGAGAAGACCCAGACATAGAAATTTTTTAGAAAAATGTGTTTAAAAAAGTACCATTTTGTACCAAATGTCTGATATGGCCAATTTTCAAGTTATTTTTTAGCAAATCTAAGCTCAATTTCGGGAAAATATTTTCCGTTCCTGTTGCACAGGAACCCGATAAATTAAAAAAATGTTAAAATTTCATGTGACATGTCAATAAAATTTTCACTTTTCAAGTACGCCCAGGTTCCTGCCGAATGCCAATCAAAAGCGCCCTAGTTCTTTAAAGTTTCTGATTTTTATCACAATTTTCTGAACATCTGTTGTTCAATATGGCTTATAAAAATAATCCCCCTTTTCAAGACGTAAAGCATAAAAAATATAGCATTTTGGCCCCTTGTGACCATTTATTACGTAACATATGATCCAAATTTTATCATGTATTATTGCAAATCGTTAAGATGAATATCTTTGCTTCTCATAATGTATGCCTATCACAAAATATTGATCATTAAGGTGTTAAAGATGAAAGACTTTTGACCCCTTGAAGCCTCTAATTTAAAGAGTCATCCCCTTTTTCTTGATATCAAATGACCTTGTGATTTTGAAGACTTTTTGTTCAACAGCTATTCAGAGATTTCTTTTCCTTGTGAAGATATGCTTCATATAGATATTAAGGGGCAACCCCTACAAGTCCTTGATGGGGCTGTTTTACAAAAATTCAAAATATTAATATTGTTTAGAACATTATATATTGTTGCAAATCATTACTATGAATACCTCTGCTTCAGTAATGCATAACAAAATATTGATCATTATAGAAGACTTTTGGCCCCTCTGACCCCTCATTTTAGGGGTCAGCCCCTTTTTCTTGATATCAAATGAAAGGTCTTGTCATTCTAAAGAATATTTGTTCAACACCTATTCAGAGATTTCTTTTCATTGTGGAGATATTCTGAATAGAAATATTTAGGGGCCACTCCAACAAGTCCTTAATGGGGCCTTTTCACAAAAATTCAAAGTATGTACATGTATATTGTGTAAAACATAATTCTGACCATCTTTTGTTCAATATTGCTGATCAAAATATTCCACCTTTTTGAGATATCAACCTTCAAAGATTTGACATTCTGGCCCCTTGTGACCCCTAATTACGTAACAAAAGATCCATTTTTTTTATTAAACTGTTGTTTATAGTTTAGATGAATACTTTTGCTTCAGTAATGTATAACAAAATATTGATTATTAGAGAGTTATAGATAAAAGAATTTCGGCCCCTCTGTGACCCTTATTTTAGGGGTCAGTCCCTTTTTCTTGATTTCAAATGAAAGGTCTTATTAAACTACACAACTTCTCTTCTATATGTTTTAACAAATTATCAATATATACGAAGATATGAAACAAAACCTATCAAATTTTGTGAGATGTTTCTGAGATATTTTTTGGGCTCTACCGAGCTTCGGCGCCTTTCGCGCTAGAAAGATTTGGACGCCTGCCTGCAACTCAGCAAACCTTCCTTTACTATCACCGAAAATCTTGACTCAATATCTTAAGTCGTTACGGAGGAGTTTTCCAGGACAAGCCGACCCCCTAAAAATAAGAAAATCGTCCATAACTCTCGACCGGAAGTGACTAAAATTTCCGACAAGGTTCAGATGAATATCTATCAGATCTGAAAGTTTGGTGAAAATCTCTTAAGCCATTTCTGAGAACTCGCGTGCACAAAATCGGTAAGAAAAAAAAGAATAATAATAGGGAAGAAGAAACCGAACAAAAACAATAAGGTCTTACATTGAAACGTAATACCTTAATAAATTATATATAGATTATTAATAATAAGCATACCAAGAGCATAATAATTTAAGCTTACTTATGCTTGACTCTTCATCTTCTGTACTGTGTATGTTGATAGAAATTTGAACAATTATTTGTGGTGCAGACTCAAACGTTGTCTCAATCAAGCCCAATAAAGATGCCAATCTAACCAGTGTCTCAGCTTTCTTGCTTTGTTCACCCAAAGCTAAAACTGGCATCAACCTAATGAAAAAGAAGGATGTTGTTAACCTTATCATCATTAATGATTAGTAAAAAGCAAAAACCTTGTCTGGCTTTAAAAATGTTAAAGTTTAAAAGTACTTACACAAATAGTTGAATGAACGGCGAAAAGAAGATACAGCAGACCAAAACCATCTTATTGACATTGTCATTTTCTCTCACAACCATAATTATCGTTATTATATTTACAAGAACTGGAAGTCCCGTAAATATAAGAGAAAAAATAAAATTTTCAATGCTGTTTTCATGCCAGAAAATGTATGTCATATTGATGTCACTCGCAAAGTCAAATAAAAAAAGGACAATTGCCACCAATGTCCCTGAAATATGCATCAAACCGTGTTTCCAATTTTTAGCATAGGGGACATTTCTGAAGTCTTTTTGTAACCACAAAATGAGCGCTACAATACAGGCGATTAGAGTGAACCCGGCAACAGATGAGGAAGTTATAATCAGATCATCAATTATAAACGGGCTTATGAAGGAACCTGTAAGAAAGAAATTAACTACATTTCCAACATGACTCAAAGCTATAAAAAATTACTGACAAGTTACAAAAAAGTACTCTGTGTGCAGCCTTCATGTAAAAATAGGAGTTCAAACTAAACAATGCTGAATACTTCAAAAGATGAAAAATATATCTTTTTCTTCTAAAAAACTTTCCACCACAAAATATCGTTCCTTTCTAAACGTTTTCTGTATGGAATTCAACCATGGGGTCCTAATTGAAAATAGTTTAATTAACATTATAGAATTTGTTGTAAGAACGTACATACTATTTAGAATATTTAAATTGAGGACAATACAAAAGTCTGCTCAGAAGCTAATGATCAAACATAGTTAAATTAATGAAATGTTGTTGAAAACGATGCAAAAAATGCTTTAACAAAGTATTTGTCTTCAGTCTAAAATGAAAATAAAGAAAAATACTTTACCTGTTTCATTTTTCTGACTGATATTCATTTTTTCGGTTAACCTAAAAAAAGAATTAGGTTCTATCAAAAAGTTTGTTGGCTTAAGCCAAAAACCGTTAAGGTACATGGATTATTTTTTTAGATATTTAGTAAGCACCAGTACGAAAAAGTTCATTAATGCATTTATCTTTCTATTAGGTATATTATTCAACCTTTCCGACAGGGTAGCCATAAGTGGACAGGGAGTAATCGTGCATTCTAAAGTCTTCAATCCAAACCATTCAGTTCATTCCACCGATTATTGATTGAAGAACAAACATAAAAGTCAAAGGATCTAGCCGTTTTGGTTATTGCTAATGTCTGTACGAAAGACTTGACATGCACACAAATACAGGGCAAAAAAAAAAAAGAAAAAGAAAAAATCAGAAATTTGACACAGGCATGCGCAAAAAGTGAGAGTAATACCGGCCCAAAGTGGTTAAACCCACAGACCAAAATAAAGCAACGAGTCTCTATCAGTTTTAGAGTGAATGGTACGATTAGGATTACTTACAATCTTAATATCGTTTTCAGTGGTGATGCATTGACGATTACAGAGGTGCATGATAAAAGTTATATCTTGATGTGACCTTGTTATGCGCCTACGTCAATGTCACGATTGGTTTGAAACCATTCAAATTACTCTCTGACAAGTGAACAATGTTATTTGGTCGAATAGTTTAAAAAAAAGAACAAACTACATCGTAACACGTTGTTGTCTTTCGATCAATTTAATATGCAATTCACATACTAAATCCAATGAAACATCCGTTAGCCTTGATAGTCTTGCAAGACATTTATACTGACTTCAAATATGCAAAAAAAAAGACGTGTTTGTACCACCCGTGCATGAATTGGTACTACAAAATGTATTCATAAAACTGTCATCATCAATATGCGCGTGTTTTTGCATTTTAAAAACTTTTCCTACGTAGGGTCATACATTTTATGGTTGAGTTGATTTTAACACCAATTCAAGTGCACAGTTACCAAATTTCACAATCAAATTTACATCGCATTAATCTTCTCATTCGTTTCTTTTTCCTTTCAGTATTTTAAACTTTAAGCCAAAAAAATCTTTTTATATCTTATGGAAAGTCCAAGCATCGCAGTCTCGAAGATTATGGTTTTTCCTACATAAGTGTTACTAAGAAAAAACACTTTTGATATTTTTATTTGCTAATTGTTATCCAGAATCCTTTATATAATATAACTGTTCCTTAATTTTTACCCTATTCTGTAGATAATATAAAAATTACAATGTAAATTAGAGGAAATGTCTAAACAATTAAGGGGCTATGATGACGTCAAAAAGGTGGTTTCGTTTTAAGCATTTTACATTTTTTTTACATCTGGAAAAAATATAGACCAATAGAAAATGTTAAAAAATGCAGCAGAAAAAACATGCATAAAGAATACTCTAGGAATCTCGTCAAAAAATAATTGGGTGGTCTGTATCTTTACTACATATTAACATTGTCGCACATGTGCATACGTAACATTTAAAAAAATCATCTCGTTTTGTATAGTAGGGGGCTACTCGTGTCAAACCGGAAGCCGGAATTACCGTTTTCGGTTTAAAAATTATGGTACATATAACATTAGCAAAAATGTAAACAACGTCTACAGAAATGCTGGAGGGGTGTATAAAGATGATTGAGGGTATTTTTGTGCAAGGATTGAGATTCATACGGTATGTAGCAGAAAATTGAATAGATTTAAAACACAAGCGCGAGGTCAAATGCCGGACATGCTTTTCAGATGCGGTATATTTTTTGCCTAGGAGGTTACACTGATACTAGACTTTTATGATTGCATTGGTACATCTCAGATATTTCCGATACATGTGTACAGAAAACGTGGTGAATAATTTGCTATTATGTCATTGAATAAAACTTTTCGTTTGTGGTTTTTATTTATGCACAATTTGTATGCTGTGCAGATGGGATTTTCCTACTTTCGTTTTTGACGGCAAATTTTCTACATACGAACTCAGGTACTCAGTTATAATTAAAAACCAACAACACATGTTTCTAATGATGTATTTGCAATTTCAGACATAATTTTGCTTGAAAGACATCGCTTATAATTTTTTCATAACTAGTAAATGTAATAAGCATCCAGGAAAGTCAGATCATCAGTAGTGGACATGATCACAGTACATAATGAATAAAGAATTTAATTGAGAATAAAATTGATGTTTGTGGTTAGGAAAGGGTGTGTAAATAATGATAAAATTGTTCTTAAAAAGAATATTTCACTTTTTAGCTGATTTATAAATATCTTTGTCAACATAAAAGGCTTGAGCTGTTGAACTGCGATGGGGGTACCTGTATGTTTTACCCTATATCTCGGTGAAAAAACAGATGACCACTACATTTATCATGCCTATAAGATACTTCAAGCATTGGTTGCTATAATTTAAGACAAAAAAATCAGGGTAAACAAATTAATTATTCTAATAGAGAGCTTTCTTTGAGTTTTGAGCTCTGTTACTTTATAAGTGAAATGAGATTAATTATTCAATATTTTCTTAATTTTAAGCAGAAATGTGTACCATAGCCTGAAATTATTAAGTATTATCCTTATCCTTGTAATTTATGTTCAAAAGAATTTATTTGCCATGTGCTATGACATAAAATGAAGACAGTCTTTATAACAGTGATGATTTTGTTTTTTCTACAAGAGGGTACATGAGTGTTTCACACCCTATCTCAATAAAAATATCGATTATCTTTGTACTTTTTGTGCTTTTGAAGTAGATAAAGTATCTATTTATGTAAATCAGGACAAAAATTGCACCATTATCCAATTAATTCTAAGAGTAGGGACCTACCATAAGCAGAGGTTTTTCTGGAGTTGCTTTTTAGTTTTTTGCTAGCGTCTGGTTTTTTTTTATTCAAATATTGATATCACTTGAATGAGATGTTGCCCCCTTTTTCTATCTATCAAATAAAAAAATATAATCTCAAAATTTGTTTAAAAACAAAATATTCAAACCTTTTTCTTCTTACCTTATAATCGAATCTCAAAACCATGGAAAATCCAGCTTTCGATATCGCAGCAGTCGGGTGTTGTTAAAACGCGGAACGGAAAACGGAACGGAAAGCGGAACGGGACGGAAAACGGAATATTTTATGTGAGATTAAATCACTTAAAATACACAATTTTTATCATAAACAATATATTTTATTTATATTAAATCCCCTATAATCAAAAACCAGATCATTAAGTCATGTTCAGTGTCTTGTACGTGAAAATCCCTGAAATTTGATAGTGTGTGTGTCGGTGGGGGGGGGGGGGGTGTTTAAACCTACTTTAAAAGAGTTTGACAAGCGAAAATTAAAAGACAAAGGACAATTTTTTTGGGGGGGGGGGGTGGGGGGTGTATGTTCTGAGTCCAACATCTTTCAATACTTTTTTTTACACAAACTTACTACTGTTTGGTTTTAATGAACATTTCAATAGTGAAAAGGTCTGGAGCTAATGTCAAAAGGGAAAGAGAGAACCTTTTGCAACTTTTCAGACCTTTCCAAAGAGCGGAAAAATAAACTAAAATATTTCACCATTCATATCCACCCTGTCCCCCCTTGCACAAATGTACCACATACAGACTATATAACTTCATTAAATTTAAAGATGCTACATTTTTTAACACAGAAAAGTTTTGCAACTATATATATCCAGAATTTTAATATTTAGGAAGCTTCTCTATTTTGTATAAAATTTTAACAACAAATGAACTTGACACGTTAGATGTGTTTAGCCAAGCTTGCCGGTGTAAAGACGAATAATGACCCCCATCGAATAATGACCGGGGGTCATTTTTCGACAGCGAAAAATGACCCCCGGTCATTATTCGACGTAGAAAAATGACCCTTTTGCCCGTAGAAAAAGTGTAACTTACTCAAAAATTTGCATAACCCACGTGAAGAAAAATGACCCCCGTAGAAAAATGACCCCCTTTAGATTAAAGCTAAAATTTTTAGGGGGCAAAAAACATTAGATAAAGAAGCATATCTGCCAAAATGCTTACCTGAGCTTATTGGGAATAAACTGATGATATGTTGATCTCATAACATTATACAATTATAGCCATATTTTTGGGTAAATGCGATGATTCAGAATCTAAAGGAGTAAAAGATTTATCAAGCCTTAAGGGTTAGGTAAACATTGTTTTTTGATGGTGGAAATCATCGAACTGACAGAAAAAATCAGCAGTATTATATATTATTATATGGCGGGAGGGTATATAGTGATCGGGATGTCCGTCCTTCCGTCTGAGGTATCCATCTCTTATCCGCAAATCCTCATATTTAAAAAGATGTGTTTGTGAAACAGCTATGCCCCTGTATGGCAACATAGCGAAGATTAAACTTTTCTTAAATGCTATTTAAATATATTGTTACCCAAAGTAGGGTCTTCTCACAAGAAATACAACTGCAAATAGGTAAGCCCTTGTTCACCACTTGTTCAAAAGTAATGGCTAAGGATAAGTTTTTGAAAGGTAGGTCAAACTCAAAGGTCAAAGTTGATGATTTCTTAAGAAAATGTTTAATGTAACAAGGATAACATATGTGAAGTATGAATACCCTAGCCCTTACCGTTCAAAAGTTATGGCCAAGGTGAAAAAAATCATAAGTACGGAAAACTCCAAGGTCAAGGTCAAAAGGTCAAGGTTTTTAGTATCCAATGAAAGGTAATGCCCCAAAACTACATATTTGAAGTATGAGAGTACTAGTATCTACCGTTTAAAAGTTATGGCCAAAGTAAAAATTTTGCATTTTTGTGTAAAATGGGACAAATTCCAAGGTAAAGGTCAAAAGGTCAAATTTAGTGGTACCCAAAGTAAGGTCTTGTCACAAGGAATATACATATCAAATATGAAAGTCATAGCTTCAATAAATGAAAAGTTATGGTAAAGGTTAATGTTTTTGCGGACAAACAAACCGCCAGATAGACAGACGGACATAAAGACGAACACGATAAAACTATATACCCCCGAATCTT